GGAAAGTTTATAGCTATCTATATATGGAGCAGCTTCGTGAGACTGGCATGAGCTGGAGTAGCATAGGAAACTTTTTGGGTGTTTCTTCAAAGACTCTTTATTGAAGGAGGGTAGAGCTGGGTTTAACAGATGGCTATACAGAGATAACATGAAGATCTTTTCAAAGAGATTGGGCAAGTTCTAAGTTTAACACCATATAATGGTGAATGTTTTGTTAAAGGAAGTCTTCAAGGGAAAGGAATAAAGGTTGAAAGGGCAAGAGTTAGAGAGTGCTTAAAACGATTAGATGGCCTTAGAAGGGAGGTTTGAAGGAGGTACTCATTGGTTAGGCGAATGTATAATGTTCCTGGATCAAATTATTTGTGGCATGTAGATTCTAATCACAAATTGATTTCCTGGAGATTTGTCAAACATGGCTGTATTGATGGTTTTAGTAGAGGTGTTATATACCTTACCTGTTGTAACAATAACAAAGCAAGCATAGCATTAGGCCTTTTTGAGAAAGGTGTTAATGAATATGGGCTTCCCCTGCATGTCCGTGGAGATCATGGAATGGAAAACATTGACGTGGCCAGGTATTTGATAAATAATCGAGGATCAGACAGGGGGAGTTTCATTGCTGGACGCAGTGTTCACAATCAGATAATAGAACGTTTGTGGGCAGTGGTTAACCGAGTTTGTTTTGCATTTTACAAAGATCTTTATGAGTTTATGGAAAATAATGAAATACTTGATTCTCTAAATGAAGTACATTTATATGCATTACATTATGTATATCTTCCAAGAATTAATGCATCACTAAATGAATTTCACAGCCAGTGGAATTATCATGGGATGTGTACAACTGGTCATCACTCACCACTAGCCTTATGGAGTATGTCACTGTTACAAACATCTGATGATGCGGAAGTTCTTGACAAAGAATCCTATGGCATAGACCAAGATGGTCCAATTCCAGATATAATCACTGACTACAATGTTGTTGTTCCAGAGCCAGAACTAGAGCTAATTGAGAGTTGAAGGAAAATGTTGATCATTTATCTGATGATGGAAACTCTGGGATAAATCACTTTTTGTCTGTCCTGCAAATTCTGGAAACTTTCCAATGAGATTTCATAATGGTGTTATAGATGAATGTTAAAATGTGATACAATTTGCATCGTAGGCTGCCCCAAAGATAGATGTAGGTTAATAGTATTTACATTGTTTTCTGTTATGACAATTTTGGAGTTGCTTTGTGATCATTGAAAATATATAAGGATTAAATGCTTAGGTGTGTCAACATTTCTTGTGGTTCATTTAAAAATTAATGGTTAGAGTTCTTTGATCACATTTATAAACAAAAACTGATTATGTTTCTAAAGACCAGCAGACAAGACAAATAATAACTCCAACATGACTTGTAAATAAAAAGAATAAAGCAAATACAATAGCACTTACGTTTTTATTTAGATTAAGATCATCATTAAAATCACTCATAATCATCAGTGTGATGAACTACATGTGTTCATAATCAATCCATAGTCATATGCAACATTAACAAAACAAAAACGCTTACAATGATATGTAACAAATATTAACAATTTCTCACAAAATATGAAAAATCA